GGGCGAGCGCAGGCCAGATCGCGGGCTATCTGCCCGGGCTGTTATCTAAATTTAGAAAAATGTGAGGAAAATTGACTTTTTTTGGGGGGGGGGGGGCCTTAACGGATTGTGTGCAATAGGAGAATCATGAGATGCTAGTTAATGCAGTATTGATAAAAATAAAATCAAAGAATAACATTGATGATCTCTTCCATATAAAGTCTTGTTTGTTTTTAAAAAATGACTTTGCGTTTAATAGTTCATGAATATGATGTTTTTGTTTTTCTTTAGATATCTTTTCATAAACAACAACTTCAATATTGTTTCATTAAAAGAAAACAAAGCACGAAAATTATAATAATTTGAAATGTGAAAGAAAATAACTGTGCAACCGATAATAATTTCATTAATAGAATCCAATGTTTACTAAAATAAGATGATAAGACGACTGAAGTTCTTCGATCAGTAAAAGAACTATTTCAATAAAAAAAAAAAAGTTTTTATGGTTCCTCTCCACTCAGACAGTATGCCAACTATCATGAATAATAATCTTTTTTCTTAACGTCTAAAAACTTTCATTTGTTGATGAATGAAAAATTGATTAGATAATGATTGAGTATTCACAATATGAATCACAAAACCAGATGATAAACAGTAAAAGATATTTTAACAGTTTATAAAAATAAAATTCTGTTTTAGCTTCATTTTGATTATGTATTTCGAGTAATAACGAAGTCAATTTTAGTATCTTTCACCTAAGAAAAAAAAACATTAATTTTCATGAAGAATCAAACAAAACGTACGAGAAGCTTTTTAATTATAATAACATGGTTATTATCATTATTTGTTCAACTGCTTAATGAAATAAATGGCTTTTTAAGAATAGATTCAATTTTATCTCGTTGTTCAGATGCAACACGAACAATTTCACTTGTTTATGATTCTACTGAATAATAAATTGTTATATCATCAGTTGGATTTAATTTAGCTTTTAAAAAAGAAACTAAATATTAATTCAAATTAATAATTAATATAAAAAAAAAACCTTTTTTCGAAGTTTTTGAACTGGAGTTGTAATTTCATGAATAAGACCTTCTTCTTTTAATGAAGCATCAGCTGTATAATCAAGTAAAATAACAAACTATTTATAAAAACACAATATTGAAATCTAAGAAAAAAGAAAAAAAATTCACACTCCTTGTTCGGCAGTATCCTCAAATAGGGTTTGTTTCGTTACACGATAAACAATATGAATATCTTCCAATTTAATTGGTGGTACTTCATCAATTATTGTTAATGGATTTTCATCTTGACTTTTTGATAATAATTTTTCAATATCTGCATCAGACATTTCACAAATTAGTTGAACTATTGATTTAATTTTAACTATTTATATATTGATTTGTTACATAAATATTAAACACAATAAATGAGATACTCTTACTACCAGCTTTGTTTGCCTAATGTTAAATAATTTGGTTCAGCACGCATCTCAACACCATAAAATTCATGATCTTGAGATAATATTACTTTACGTACATCTAAATCCCTGAATAGTAAAAATAAATATGAAAGAAGAAGTTTAATAAAACAAATACTTTTCGAACAAAATCTTCTAATGATTGAAAGGTATGGGTCTGGGCATGGGATGTTTCTCACTTCGACATTCACACCCACACCCATCCGTTTGAGCTGAAATTTTCAGTTTATTCCTGGTTGTGACTTATGTGCAATATCTCCTATGGTAAACGTTAATAGAAAGTAATAGATCGCGTAATAAATATTGTAATAAAAATAAAAATAGAAATATTTATTAACAACCTATTTTTAGTTATTTCTAAATTCATTTATCTCATGGACATCGCTAATTGATTATTATCATGATAAAATAAATTTATTTCGAACTTATTTTATCTACAGCAAATAGTAGATCAATGGCAATAGTAATGGCTTCTCTGCTTTTCTTCTTGTTCTTTAGATACAAATTATGACCTTGAGATAAGTTTATCGTTTAATCTTATTTTGAATTATTTCTTTTTTTAGAATTGAATTATCCATATTCGTAACAATCTGTTGCAAAAAAATATTCAGATACATATTCATATCATTTTTTGATTTTGTTTTTCATTAAATTTTTTTATTAATATCAATAGACGTAAAGAAACTGATTGGAATTTATTTATTTCCTCCATTAGCCATTTCTAATAGTTATGAACTAAAGGTGAGAAGTGACTGAAGAAAAAAAAGGAAATCATTATTTAATAAAAGTAGAGATTTCTATCAGTCAAGACGGAATTATACAGTGTACATAAAAACATTTTTGAATATTAGTTCCACATATGCACGTATTTTCAATAGACATGAAGAATTGAAAGATATTAAGTTATATATCACATGAATACGTTCTCATTCTATACAATTTTTCTTCTTTTAATTTTCTCTTATTTACAAGAAAATAAAAAGAGTGCGATGATGATATCCTCATGCCCAGATTTCCACAGACTTGATTTTGTGACTGTCATCAATATTAGTTGCTTAAAGTTTTTATCACTATAGAATTACCTTTTTAAAAAAAGCAATTATATATTCCAATAGAGCTTGAAATTCTCTATCATCCTATATATATTTGTCTTGCGTTGCATTTATATGCTGCAACACATAAATGCAAGATAAGACAAAAATATATAAAATAATAGAGAATTTCAAACTCTACAAAAATCTATAATTATTTTTTTAATAAATTTTCCTATAGGAATAATTATGTCAAAAAGAAAACTACAAAAGTAACAAGAAAATGCATATTTTTTTATACTTGTCAATTCCAAGTTTATTCATTGTATTCAAATTAGTTTGCAAGAGATCAGTACAATGCAATAGATAAATACATGAGATGATAGAGAATATCCAGCTCTATTAGAATATATATATAATTGCTGTTTTAAAAAGATATTTTTCTAGTAATAAAAAATTTTAAAAAGTAATTTAGACGACAGTGACAAAATTCAGTTCTTGGCAACTTGATGATGAGGCTGTCTTCATTGTAATCTTTTTATTTTCTCGTATATAAGCGAAAACTAAAACATAAGTATACAGGGTGATAGAAAACTTCAAGGGCTTTCAGAATATGTAATTATGTTTTTTTTAAACATGTGTTTATAGAGACGATATATTTAAAATACGGACTGACACTATGCATTATCAGACGTATATATTATGCTGATGATAACCATTTTTAAAAAACTGAAAACGTCGAAGATTCGATCTATTATGATCTTCTTTTCAAAAAACAAATTCTCTCATGGATCAAAACAATATTTTGATTGCTATATTAAGTAATGAAAATAGAAGTAGTTTTTTGTTGAGTTTCACGTTTAGATTATTCCATACTTTTTGCAATCTTCTAAGGACAAAAGTCGACCATTGAATGCAGCGAAGCCTAACAAATTGAAATTTATATATAGTTATTAAAAGCTATTCAAGATCTTAGTCTTTTTTACTAGACGACTATACCATGGGATGATTTTTTCATCTCATCCCATCCCATCCGGAGCCCTGTAATCCACGCACTCACACGCGATGATCAAATTTTACAATACAGATGTTTATCATACTTTCAAATTATTATCTCCACCACTGAATCTGAGATCAAATCATTAGTTCGATATGTACAAGTTTATTATCATCAAATGAAAAAAAAACAATAAAACATATAAATTACGCCTGGTGTTGTTTACGCATGAACTTTGTTGCTTTTCCCAATATTTCACATAGATGATTCCATTCACCTTGAAAAGACAAACAAGAAATAAAATTTAATCAGCTGCCAATTACATCCAAGTCTTTATTGGAAAATAATTGAATGTGAAAGACTTAGATATTAGATATTCTTTTTGAATAACATGAACTTATGAAATTCTAATCTGTTTTATGAACAAATCGTTTGAAAAGCAATTCGTACTATGATCATTTTTTTCTTATTATATAGTAAG